GGTGCTTTCTGTCGAGTACTCGTAATGTGTTGCGACTTATGTGGGTCGGCCTATTATCTCAGCCGTATGGTTTGTTGTTTATCTGTTAGTGAGCTGAAATATATACAAGTAGTATGACTACAAGTACGCCGATTGTTTGTTTTCCCCTCTCGGTTTTCATGGCACATTTGATGCGTATGCTTGTTGACTGAGACGTGTGTCATTGGGTTCTTCCTGTGACTTTGTGCGCCTCATTTCGCATTTGCATAACATAATGCGTGTATAGCCATTGGCATTGCCTCACCTTGCATACCACATCTCGTCTCCTCTCATTCTTGTCGCATCCCCCAAGCGAGTCCAAAAATGGACGGGTAAATAATTAGGCCACTTTAATGAGCTTTTTACGCATTTTGCACTCGAAATGAAACTTTAATTTCTATCGCGATTAACTAATTTGACTTTCGTCAGCCATTTAAGTGCATTTCAATTATTTAAAATTAGTTCGGGTTCCGCTTTGTTTAACAGAAGAAATTCGATTAGGCGCTTTATGTAAAGGTGTTGACTAAGCCGCTCGAAGTGGCCTCTGCACTCTAGCTCTTTACTTGTAGTGTGGCTTTGTTGCACAGCCTTGAGATTGCTGCTAGCTAACAAATTATTATTCATGCATATGCACACTTAATTGTTATATCTGAGCAGAAGCTTGCATATTCAATTAATTGACTCGATTGAAGAACTTCAAAGGTTCTTGGCTCGGCCTTGGGGTCGACTATTTGTTTAGCACGATTCTTAGCTTTAATATTACATTTATGTATAGTATCCATGTTCTATACACATGTATGTCTTAGTTCTTGTTTTGTATATACTTGGCTGTTTTGCAAGTCATATACGTTTTGGCTCCAACAGTAAAGCACTGCACACAGCCACAATAAATAACCGGCCACTTAAACATAAACTTACAGAACATCAGCCTCTCAGCTGCATTTTTTGAATGCGGTGTAGTTTGTGTGTGTGTATGTGTGTGGGCTAGGGGGGAGGGGGTACGTTCAAAATTAAGCTGCGAATTTATTGAGGAAGGTTTTAAATGTGGATGGGGAGGGGGGGAGGGGGGCTCTATGTAGAATTGCACATTAAAACGAACCGCACTGTGGTGCACATGAAAACAACAAAGATAAAAAACAGGTAAAAAACCAATTTAAAATTAGAGCTAAAAGCTTTGTTTTGTTTCCCACACTTTCGTCCTTGCCTATGAATTTCGACCATAATATTTGCTAAAAAAGCAGCTTGTTATTTTGACTTCAAGATCTTAAATAGGCAGAAAAATAAATAATGAGCTGACGAAATAATACGTTTTCCAATATTTGCATTTTCAGACATTTTTCAAATAATAATAGTAAAATGATCCTCAATCATCTTCATTGTATATTCGTTGCTAGCAAATAAAATACATGTTCAATTTTAGAAACAAAGAGCATATCTAGGCACTATGTATGGCATACAGTGAAAAATTCAGAACTTAGATTTAAGGTTGAAAAAATGAAAAAACTAAAATTGTTTTATCTCACAAAATATCTGAAATGTTGTTCTTGTATTGAAAACGCAATCTCGAAGAATTTTCTTAATATTTCTGGACTATAAGTAAATACATGTTCACGAATGTAGTATGTAGGGACTGGCTTTTGTACTATTCGTTATATTCCCATTGATCCGAGCATTGAGTGCCACTTGCGGGTGTTCTGGCATGTCAAATGCTGAGCACATATTGCGCATTTTAAGGTGCCACGCTCAGGTTGGCACGCGTCGCCCATTAGATTTGACACAACATTGATTAATATATGAAGCATTCACTTAGGGACTAGCTAGTTTTTAAAAGCGCTATTACTATGCGAATTAAAATCGATTCAATAGACTTAATATGCAGTCGGTGCTGTGTTTTGCGATCAACATAATTTCATAGTAAATTAATTTTCAACCTGTTTGACAAGCACCGAAATGTGCCATTAAAACGCATATAATTAAGTTATAAGGAAACAGCTCTTGCATACTTATTTCTATAGTATTTATATCTAAATATAAATACAGAGCCCAGTCGGGCTTGGCTGGAAGCCGTCTAACCATAAACCCTGCCCAACAATTTCGCCCATGCCGCAATCACTGTGCACTCTGCACTCTACACACAACTCATGTTGCAGTCCCCACATGACTACTGCCACATTCTGACCTTCAGGCAGTTGCCGCAAAGTGCGCGCAATTACGGCGGGCCCGATGTCAAAACCTTCGCCTCTTCAACGCTAGGCTTTTGACACCTAGACACATTGGCAAACAATTTTAGTAACCGCAGCTAAACACAAATTAGACACAACTCATTTCAAGTTGGGGCTCAGTGCGAAAAGACAATAAACAAAAAGGTACATAAAAAAATAATTAAAAAAAAACTGTAAACAGTATTGAATGCAAAAACAACCAAAGCGTCAGAAGAAAAACAACATAATTATTAAGGCACTACAGACCCTGCACATACCTCCATACTCTAGAAAATGTTTCTTAAGTACACGTTTTATGAGGACAAATGAAGGTGCAAACGAAGAATAGTTACAACAGACTGATAAAATGTAAGCTTGGAATATAACTGCGGCCTCAAAAGTTCACATTAACTTAAGCCAATGGAAAATATTTCAAATATTATTAAAGAGTTATGATTAAGCTATGAAAATTATATCTTTTGAGGACAACTTGATATTATATCTATTGTGAGATTACTTTTCGTTACTCTCGTTTGTGGTTCGAATTTTCCATTCTGTCGTAAAAAATACACAAATGATATTTCACTATCAATTTTCGCAAAATTTTAAATAATTTAAGATACTTTCTTCAGCTACACTACGAGTCAAGAGCTATGTAGCTTTTCCAAATCGAAGCAAATTTCTATTTGAGAAGTATTCGCATAAACATACTCCTCTCATATTTGCATCACAAAAATGCATAAAAAATCATGTAGTACTTTTAAATTCGAATATGCAAAGTTTAAGAACGCACAAGTAATAATTATTTCGCCATTTCATTATACCAGCGATTAGTAGTACTTAGTCAAGTCTTTAGTGTTCTCTTCTCATTATATTCAATGCCATGACATTATGATATTAACAGGTTATGTCCTTCAGACCTATTTCCTGCATTAATGCATCTATTCTTATGTGATGTGGCTCTGCTATCTTTGCTGAGATGATCCTGAAGCGGCTTTAAATATTTTTCATTTAATATTAACACCAACTAACACGAAGAGTAAAAGTCTTCAGGTTTTATAATCAAACATGATTGAAGGCGCCGGATTTGTCTGCTCAAAAATTGAACTCCGCATTGAGAGACAAGAAGTAAATCAACATTTTAAAACTCCAAACAATGGAAGTAATAGCATTAAACATATACGAGTGTTTAGTCGTTTATAGCATATAAGTTCCATTGATATCCAGTATTGGTATTTGTTGTGCGGGCAAAAAATGTTATTGTTGCCTCCACGGATTTGTGTGTTGAATATTTACTGTTTACCTTAAGAACTCCAAAGGCGAGAAGAGAGCATGCAATGCCGGCCATTTCAGTCAAACTTGGCCAAACATTCAACTTCTACGAAATATTTGAGTGACTTGTCGAATTGCACAAATATTTACGGCGACTAAACAGCAATTAAAGTGGTCGTGTGCAGGAAAGAAAAACCCATTTAGAACTGTAACAAGCTTCGAAAATCTGTCGGCAAACTGTGACTTTGCAGGGCATATCTCTGGCAAAGTAATTGGGCATTGCTGACCGCCTCATTGGTTGGTGCTGGTCTCCTTAGTTGAGTATACAAAAAGCGCCTTTGAGAGCAGTCGAAAAAGCCGACCACCTTGCCAGCGACCGACTGACATGAATGGTAATATATAGCCCAAATAGCTAATAGATATAAGCGTGGCTCAAATGATTGCTAAAACCAAATCTATGGGACATAAATTAAGAACATTATATAATGATGATAACAAGTTCCATGCTCGGCGCATTGCCAGACACTGGCTTTAAAAAGAAAAAAAAAACACACACACACACACACGTTAAAGAAACACAAAACTAATAATAATGGAAGCATCGTTGGGTAGAAAAAAATAATCACCGAAATAGTCGAAATAGTCGCTATAGTCGTGACTGTAGTTGTCGTGGACGTGCTCAACTTGACCGATAGTTAGATCTGCTTGACCTGACTACCAACTTACTGCCAAACCGCCAAACCATCAAACTGGCGACCCTGTTGCGTGAGCTGGCCCCGTGAGTAAGCCAAAGTCGCAGCCAAGAAGCGCAGCAAAGTTGCCGGGCAGGTTCGAGCGTCACGAAGCCGCGGGCCTACGTGAGTGCGAACAGTTGACCGCTTGGGATGCATGGCTGGCCAAAGACTCAAAAGAAAATGGCCAAAATTCGATGCTATGTGCTGGCATCTGTGGGTAAAATCGAGCAAAATGGGCTTTTTATGCAAATGGTTTTGATTTATTTCTGATCAATTGCCCGATTCCTTGCCACCAACGCTCAACACTCGTGTAATGTCCAGCCCCAAATTATCTGCCGCGCATAGGCAGCGTACCGTTTGAGCCGCGCACGCGTCGTTCATTAACAAATACAAATACAAATGCAAAATGGCCCCGGCCCCGTCCCCGGCCCCAGCCCCAGTCCCAGCCCAACGACGGCAGCGTTAGAGGAGGCGCGCGTTCGTTTAGCCAGCAGCAGCAACAACAACAATCGAAACTTTGATAACTACTATAACAACAACAACAACAACATGAAGAGCGAAGAGCTTGTAGTCACAGATCAAGAATTGCCAACGAGCCGTACCCCATAGCCCACAGCCCATAGAGCGTAGACCGTAGACCGTAAGCGAACCAGAAACCGAAGCCGAGTATTGCAAACACCCGAAACACCAGCTCGAAAATCTCGAATGCTTTAAAAATTGGCTGTTAGTATTTTTTGAGGCACTGTTTACGAACTGGCTTCGTGTAGTGTAGCAGCTTAGCATAAAAGACGCGCTCTCAGCCATAGGTCGTCAAACAGCGGGCGTGCAAATTTTTCAACTAGACGCTTAAAAAGCACTGCGATTCAAAACGAAGCTTCATACGACGTGCACCCTTCGCGCTATGTGGACGTGCCGTGTGTAGCTAATAAATAGATAAAGCCAAAAAATAACTATATAAATATACTTAATATACTATTGATATATCCTTTTCGGGATACGAACGAACTTTTTCCGCGAACAACTCTCGGTGTTTTGTGGAAAGTGTGAAAACTGAACTCTAATTTCTAAGAAAGTAGCCAAATAAAGTGGCCAATTGAACAAAAGAACTCCAACCAACGCCTTTTGCACTTCAGCAATATCTGCGGTGCAAAATAAAAATAAAACACTATTTTTGGATTTTCGTACAATCTCAACTATCAATCGAAAGGTAAGTGCACATTAAGAAAGGATCCCATATACATACAGGATATTCGAATAATGGGAAAGTCTCGTTTAAAGTCTTCTTAAAACTTTAAATGATGGATACGTTTTTGTTTCAATTGAAATGTTTTAAGTATTTAGAGAGCTCTATTTCACATGACTTGAAAACATTTCGTAATTGTAGCAGCTTCTTTGCTTTGATATTTTTTATAAAACAAGAAATTGTTTACTTAAATAACTTGTGTAACGGCAAATATGTTTATGGAATATTTTTGGTTTTTTCCCATTTCGGTTTCGCTTGCGGAAGTCAAAATTGAAACTCAAGTAGCGCCTCAAGAACCAATCGAAAATGTTAAGGCATAACAAAATTTCAATTAAACAAAGACGAATCGACGCTAATGGCTATGATTCATATAATATACATGCGTATACAGATAGACTCGTTGGAAACCACCGGGCATAGAGCACGAAATTCTTTTTATATTCAAATACTTAAGCACCTTTTTGAGTATACGAGTAGAGTTGATTCGGTTGTGCGGTTTACAGACAGAGCAGAGCGAACACACGTAGCCCGAGCAAAATAAAATTATGCTCGCCTTAAAAAGCTCATCAAAGTGTGCGATATGAAGCCATTCATTGGGTATTAGGAATTTATTGGGTATTAGGAATTCTATTCAAAAGGAGTTGGCAACTAGTATGTAGTTGTTACTATGCTCATACTCGAATAGCGAACTCAATTCCATTCAATTTCTTCGCTGACTAATTTCGAATGCACAGTATCTATCGAGTACATTGAATATTGATGCCGTGCATAATGGTCGGCATATAGAACAGGCGTCGATCGGCCAGTAGAACAGCCATAGGCACGTCCCAGACGCTTTTGTTATGCGCCAGGCGTATGCCAGTAATAAGTTTATAACTACTTTGTGCGCATGCGTTGCGTGCGCTTCGCGAATCGATCAATGGACGACGCGGCATTAATCTGGGGCCAGTTTCAGTGCCAGGGGCAGGGGCTGGGGCAGGAGCAGGGGCTGGAGAATGAGCAAGTGCAGCTTTCGATTTGAGTCAGGTTTTCATTTTCAAATTCAATTTATATTCTCATTTTTATTGGCACTATATAATCCACTATACGGCGATGTTGTCTGCGTGACGTTTTTTGGTGCTCGGGGTCTCTAAGCGTTTCTCAGCAACAATCTCAGCAAATCTAAACAGAAGTCCACACAAATTATTTTCTCAACACATACTGTCGCAGCAACAGAAAAAAACTTGTTGCCGATATTGAGGACCTTGATCTGCCATGCGAACATACATACACACGAGTATAACTCGATACAAAGAAGTTCTATGAATATTTCGAGAGCTGAGATTATTTAACTATGCAAATCATTCTGATTGGGGGGGTCACCAAATCCGATGCTGCCGCTCTGGCTGCTTCAGCACTCGGTCTGCTATGCTTCATAAAGCGATATTTTAAACATCTTCTTGGCTGTCGCCAAACACGAGATCCGCATTATACACATACATGTGCGAATATATATAAATTTAATATACACGTATATGCTTTTAATATATCCCCAAACTTGTTCTCAGCCAGCTCAGAATTCTGATTAGATAGCCAAACTATGCCATTGTTGTCCGTTAAGTTCGAGGCTGCCACGCGTGCTCATAACTAGTTGCGAAACGCTTTGTTTCCGATGATCGGGATACTGTTATCACACCTGTATAGTATGACTAAATTGGCCAACCAATGACTAATTAAAAGCTCGTTTCGAAGTTACGCAATCGCCATCAAAGGCAATGCAAAGGCATATGTATGGCACCTTGCATGACATTACAATAATCATATGCCTAGACTTTTGAGCTGCACGGCCCACAAGCCTGACTTCTGTCTCAAGTTGGATAAGTAATGTATGCGAATATTTTGGCATAATTCTTCCAAATTATGTATGTGCATGCGACAAAGTATGACAAAGAGCCATCATGCCACAGCTAATGCCTCGAACTAGTTGTATTGTAACACAGTCACTACTTCATTTATTAGTAGTAGTCAATAGCTAAGTGTTTGGTCTTCGGCCATTGTTCGATGTCTGGCAAGTAATAATGTGCAAATTTCGAAACGAAAGCACGCGTTATTTCAATGTCAAGGGTTTGGTTGCGACAAAACAAAACCCAGCAAAAAAAAAAAGAGAGAACCACGCGCAAATCGTTTTATATTTAATTGATTTGTATTTTGGATAATTAAAAGCAGTCCGCTTTTCTTCCGATTCCGATTCCGATTCCAATTCGAATTTAAATTTGAATTTGGATTTAAATTTTAATGTGCCGCCTATCGCTCGCACCTGCAAGACAAGACGCTTTTGCCATCATTCATTCAGTGGCTTCGGCTTGACATTGAAACGGGTCAAGTTAACGATTTCGATTGAATGCTCGCAGCATAAAACTTGAAACAGCAGCAAGCAAGCAAGCAGGCCAATCAGAACACTACTTTTGCTCATACCCCCTATCAATAAATAAGCTGCATATGTTATGAGGTCGACCGGTTGTCGTTTCGCCAAGAAGAGGCAGGCAAGCAGGCAAGCAGTCAGGTAGGCAGGCAGGCAGGTTGGCTGAGCCAGCTGGCTTGCCAAGCCAACTAAAACTAACATGAGGCAGCAATGGGGCGACAATTGCATTTGGCAGCGATTGCAATTATAAGATACAATTGTTCTTGCGGCCAATGTCAAGTTGGCGAGTCACGAACATAGCAGCGATTTTCGTCAAGTGCCTTGGCTCGAACTACGGTCCACGGATCACATACTTGTAGTGTGGGTTGCTCGGCAGTTCATGGCCTAAGTTTGCGTAAAATAAGGCCTTTAACACGTCCAGCTAAACTAATCATAGCTGTTGCACATAAATTACCATTAAGCGGCGAAACTGTCTAATCTAATTAAATCAAATCATTGATGGCGCGATGGGTTCAATTATAACACACCCTATTCACACGGCGTATACGTAATGCAAAGAAAAACAACAAATGCGCAAATGCGATCGCCTGCAATGAGCCGTTGTGTGCGGACTTTGCCGTGATCTTTTATGCATCGAAACGCATAAATTGCGTTTCCAGAAAAACAAAAGAAATTACGCCGAGCTTAGAATTAATTAAGCGAAACTATTTAGATATGTACATATGTACATACGGACGGACTACCCCAACCAAGCGCCATCCTTGGCATTTTCGAGTCAGAAATGGGACGAAAATAGAACTTATTGATTAGTGTTTAGAGTTGAACACCCATTCGCCGATTGGTCAGTGAGCTTATTGTTTTGATAATTTAATCGTGCGCCACTTCCGGCTACGGGCACTTTTGTTTCGGCTTCAAGTATCATTAGCTAGCGAAGGCCGTTTGCTGCTGTGGCTGCGACTTTAATGTGGTCCACAAGCTTATAAGCTCGCCCATAATAAGACGGTACAGCTGTGCCAGCTACAGACACAGCCACAGACACAGCCACAACTACAGTCGCTTGCCTTTTGTGAAGAAAGTTTAGCCAAAAGCGACTGACATGGGGGACAAGGCTTGCATATCAATTAGATAAGTGCTCGCTCCTTTTGAAATGCCATATACTCGTATAGTAGATACGATTCATATGCGTAGCTGATTTGCATCTGTAAGTCCGAGCTATACATAATTGAGACTTGAAGTCTCTGCTTGTTGAGTTGACAAAACACTTGACAGGCCATAAATCAGGAAGCGAGCGGCATTGCTCATTATGGGAGCTGGCAGTAATCCATCAATATGTTGACGATGATGCTGCAGTCAACTGACAGAGATCGACAATACGTAGTATAGCCGCATTAAAATGCATGCTTCGTTACTTACTTGCAGATGGCACCCAACATTATAGGCAGCACCTTCATACTGGCCGAGACAGCCATTGCCGATGCTAACAACAACAAGATGGCCGCCCCACCCGCGTCATCAGTCAAACAGAGTGCCGTGAAGAAGGTGGCTGTAGCAGCAGCACCCGCAGCCAAGCCAGCAGAGAAGACCGACGCCAAGTCAGCAGCCCAAGCAGAGAAACCCTATCAGATGGAGATCGTGTGGCACAACGTGCTTCTCTTCATCATTCTGCACTCGTTTGCCTTGTACGGCCTTTTCCTGATCTTTGCCGAGAGTGCCTATATGGAGCTTTTTGTCAGTGAGTAACAGCTAAGCCCAACCGTACCTGCAGACACCCCCACTAACCATCTTCTTTAGTCTATTTCACCACTTTCCTGGGAGGTCTGGGCATTACGGCGGGCGTACATCGCTTGTGGTCCCACAAGGCATACAAGGCTAAGCTCCCGCTACGCATCTTCCTCATGCTGTGCCAGTCTCTGGCCTTCCAGAACTGCATCTGGGAATGGACACGCGATCATCGCGTGCATCACAAGTTCACCGACACACACGCCGATCCCCACAACTCGCGTCGCGGCTTCTTCTTCGCCCATATGGGCTGGCTGATGTGCAAAAAGCATCCTGATGTGACCAGCAAGGGCAAGCAGATCGATATGACCGACATTGAGCAGGATCCCGTGGTGATGTTCCAAAAGAAGTGAGTGCCCCATGCGATACAATTTTGTGACCTCACTGCCTCACCTTGCGATTTCTCTGCCCCATTACAGATACTACTTCTTCGTCATGCCCATCTGCTGCTTCGTCTTGCCGATGCTCTTCCCCTACTATATGATGGGCAGTTCCCTGCGCGTCTGCTTCTTCTCGTGCTCCATGCTGCGTTACGCCATCTCCCTCCATGGCACCTGGCTCGTCAATAGCGCCGCTCACTTCTACGGCATGAAGCCCTATGATGTGAACGTGAGTGCCGTGAACACCAAAGTGGTGTCAACCATCACCTTTGGCGAGGGCTGGCATAACTACCACCATGTCTTCCCCTGGGACTACAAAGCAGCTGAGCTGGGCACCTACAACTACAACTGGACTACGGCTTTTATTGACATGATGGCCAAAATAGGTAGGCTCTGATATGAATGCGATAGCCCTTTTGCTTTTGCTCAACTCCCAACCATCCATTTCTGGTCCGTAGGTCAAGCGTACGATCTGAAATCGGTCTCTCAGGAGATGGTCTATAAGCGCGTGCTACGTACTGGCGATGGCTCACACATCGCTGCCCTGCTGGATGCGAACAACAATACCACTGCGGCGCCCACGAATGAGTTGGTCATGCATTTGGATCACGACAAGGAGGATAACGCCATCTGGGGCTGGGACGATAAGGACATCTCCGAGGAGGACCGCAAGGGTGCTAATATTGTCAATAATGTTACGGAGCGCAAGCTGGAGTAGGTGGGCGACGCGTGACACGTTCGTTTTAATCATAAACTAAACATACACTTTTTGTTTAAAAATTGGGACTGCAGTATTTAATTATATTAATTGCCTATACTCCATATATATGTATCTACAAATATGTAAATGGTGTCTGCTTTTTAAACGAAACAAATCGAATAATTGTAAACACGAAAAAAGAAGTAGATGAACGCGTAACATGTCGAGTCGTGTCCAGACCCTCAGCTGCCTCCCGATTCTACGCCCACGCCCAGAACTGAGCGAACAAAGAACAAAATATTGCTTATATTCCAAAAAATAATCGAGATTAGTCAAACAATTCTTTTGCTACAAAACAAAAACAAAACTTATAGAAGTGAAAACAAAAAACAAAAAACAAAAAAACAAAAAAACTGTTATCGAGTGCTACATGCTATATACAAGTATGTATATGTATATGTATGTATCCACATATGTTTAACGACGCAAGAGGTTCTAGAGTTAAGTGTACATACTAAGGTTTATTTTAAGTGTCGATTCTTATATGTGTGTAAATTGTGCTTCTTAAATAGGTTCCCATGCGAACGCGCATTAGTGATGTAGGCGCAAAAAGCTCTCCTATTGTAAAATTAAAAACCAAAATTATAAAAAATCCACAAAAAAATATAAAAACCAATTGAAAAAATTATACATATAGTGGCGTTTTTCATTTGCCTCCAAATAGCTGCGATAGATTTCGTTTTCTATCAATACGCCAAGCAATAACCATACTAGAACTAAGCATGAAGATTCTAGAAATCTCATTTTCAAGAACTCGAACGCAATGTTTCTCGAAAGTTCCTGCTTATGATTAAAGCTAACAATATGCATTGATACTCATTAAAGGTTAAGCATTCTTTATGGCATTATGAAATAGGAAGCTCGCAAACTATGTATTTGGTTTGTTTCTGAGACAATGAAACGAAAGCTACATTATGGCCTTGTCAGCATTTTTCAAAAGCACAAAGAGCGCATTTCCGACTAATCGCGTTCGACCGGTATGGTAAATGGAAACAGAACTATAATTTTATTTAAATATACAGCCAGCTAACAATGCATGCGTGGTAAGAGTTTTTGGATACTGGTTTCCCAAATTGAATAATACTTGCCGAGTGCCATACGGATATATAATATTTGCATATTGACCGAGAAATGTCGCATGTTGTGCATGCAAGCCTTTCAATTCGGTTTTAAACTATTCTCTTTTATACCCTGTACCCGTAGGGTAAAAAGGGTATATTAGGTTTGTGCAAAGTATGACAAGAGAAATCGATGTAGACAAGTCCGTCCGTCCGTCTGGATAAACGCAAGGATCTCAGAAACTATAAAAGCTGGAACAACCAAAGTTGGTATCCAGATTTTAGGTCCGAGAAAGGACGAGTTTATTTTATTTTTTTGAATTTGAGAGAAATGGATCAAGACATGTCCGTCCGTCCGTCTGTCTGTCCGTCTGTCTGGATGAACGCAAGGATCTCAGAAACTACAAAAGCTGGAACAACCAAAGTTGGTATCCAGATTCTCCTAGGTCCGAGAAAGGACGAGTTTATTTTATTTTTTTGAATTTTCCCCCCTTCCCCCGCTACAGTATTTCGTCAATACTGTCCACATTTCAAAAGCTACCTTAAGCAAACTTTGCACACGCAATCTATGTACAGTTACCTACTTTAGTTTAAAATTAAAAAAAAAATTTAAAATCCAATTTGGTCAATTCTAGGAAAAGTTATTAGCGAAACAAATTCTCTCCAGTACAACCCTCCCACCAAACTGCAGCAACAAGTTCGCTCTTCTTCATCTTATTTTTGCTTCTACTAGGGGCGCATATAACTCAGTGACGGAAGTTTGTCAGGGTACAGGGTATTTAACTGTCGGGATTGCTCGACTGTAGCGTTCTCTCCTATTTTTTTTATGGAATTGCAAGGAATGTTTTGTTCAGTTTAGTCATTTTGCTGAAAGGCGGAACCGCTCTAAATAATACGCGCACATGTGTACAGTAAGAAAGTTCATTTGCGACTGACTTGTCCTCTTCTATTACAATAGTGGTGTGTTTTGGAGAAGCCAAAACACTTATACGAGTCATTATATATTATACGCGAATGCATTGATAGTTGAGTAAACATGTTTTTCAGATAAGTGATATGGTCAGCACGTTAATAACAATTTTGACATAACTGATCATTAAAGAAATCTGTTCAAAATTAGCACAAATACAGTATACAGTGAAAACCCTAAACCGATTATTAAAGACAGTTTTTTAAAGGATACTCATATAAAACATTGAATGAATAATTGTAATATTTATCTATAGATAATAATGAACGTAACAAAGCATCTGAAGAACTATATACAGTATGAAGGTTTTAGTTTTATACTATGTTTTTTTTTTTCATTTATATGTTGGCTTTCCAGCGTGAAATCGATGGCAATAGTACCTCCACTGTTGTCAGTTGTCATTGACCTGATTGATCTAATCATTCTGCGCATATGTTATTGTGCAGTAATTAAGGAACTAGGTTTATAATTTACAAATGTTGTTGTTTTCGTTGATTAGCTAACACATGTGTAAATATGCAAGAAACTCTTTGAGTGTCTGCTCAAAAAAAAAAACTAACCTAAAGCCAAAGAATTTTACCAATTCGCATGCTATAAATAAATATATAAATTAAACTACGCAGCGAAAATGATCAAGTTTATTGCATTTATTTAACTTAGCAATCTACAGTACTTTTATTTGGGTGCATAACCTGAAATATCTGAAATGTACTCTTTATGACTTTCTCTCCGTGCATATGTGTATGTGCAGAGATTTTTGTCTGAAAACTGAAGCCAGAGAAGGGATGTGCAGTCTTTATTAGCAAATAGTAATGACAGTCAAGCAAATAATAGTCCGGAGGACAAACATTTAGATAATTTCAGTGATAGGTGCCCCCATAGCCGTAGCTGATGTGCTGCTCCTCCTGTGCATTCGCATGTGTGCGTGCGGCGTAGAGAAGCGCAGCCATGAAGGCGCCATTGTTCATCAATAACGACAAAATGGTGGCCATTTTGAGGGCCGGCAACACAAACGGCAGCATACTTCCCAGCAAAATGGCGGGCATGACCAGTATGGGTACCGCCATTTGCAACATGGTCGTCTTGTACGAATGTTTCTTCTTGCGTTTGCCATGTCTGTGACCAACGCCACCGCCGCCGCCACCATCGCCGCCACTACCACCGCCACCCGATAGCAGGCCCTGTTTGGAATCGCCCTCCACTTCGGGCTCATAGTTCTCAACGCTGGCGCTACTGCCGACACCGCCACTACTGCCCCCCAGTGGTGGTAGTCCTATCAGATTTAGAGGCAGTTCGCTGGAGTCGCGTCGGCGCGCGCGTCCCGTGCGCGTTTTGTAAGCTGCAACAAGATGTAAGTTGTTCCACGACAAGTTGTTGTCAATCCCTTTAAGTTGTGGCTGCTTACCTTTCTTTAGCGTTAACTTCAGCTTATTCTCCTTGCTGGGCACAATCTTGACCAGCATGCCTGGCAGGAAGTGCAGCTTGATGTCGCGATGCTTGAAGAAGCGCTGAAAATTCGCCACCAGTCGCTGATTCAGCTCCTTCTCGGGCATCTCGTGATACTTTTGCGTGATCAGGCTGCCCATCTGCGTCTCCTCGCCGAAGAACTGATCGAGAAAGTCCCTGGTCAGATTCCCAGTCTGGGCAAATTGCTTGCGCTCCTCCAATTTCTGCAGCACGAACAGCTTCGTACAGCGCAGAATGCTGAAGTCGCGCAAACACTCGTAAATACGCATTGGAATCGACGCCCTAAAGTATGGCACACCATTTCCGCGGGCCCACAACATTGGGTTTGTGTCCGCGCTAAGGCCGAGCGAAGGCCCACGATCAGCTGCGGCGTAGGCAGAGCAGGCAATGCACAGTAAGAAAAGGATGCAGACATCCGTGTGCACCGCTTTGATTCGCATTTTGCGGACTCTAGATGTGAGTTGATTCGCTTTAAGGTCGACTGATGGCTGCACACAACTGCACGGCAGCAGCAACGGCAGAGAACTGAATGCGCCGCCACAATCCCCATCCTTGAAAGCGCAAATGCAGCAAATGAAGCGGCAACAACAATCAATAGCAACAACAACAACGACGACAACTGCTGCTAGCCATGTGCAGTTTCCATTGCTGCTGCTTTTGGCCCGACTGGCAACTGGTTTCTAAGCTTGAGCGCCAACGCTTGACTGCCGCTTAGATTTAGTTCAGCAGGTCAGGTGGCAATCGTTCTCTCCATGGCTAGTGAAAATAAATGTACGAATATAGTTTCCACGAAAGTAAAGCAGATTAAATAATTTAATTACCAACGAAAACCACAAGTGTTCCAAAATCTCCGGTAATCATTGTTCCGACGCCCTGTCAAACGCAAATACTATAGCTTGAGCTCATTGAGCTTCAAGTACTTATGCATTTGTATTGGCCGCAAAAGTGGATATTCTTATCAAGACTGGTAATGACGAGCTAACACCTTCTGCTCCGTGACAACATTAAATTGGCGCACTCGTCTCGTATATCAGACTTGTGAACGATGTCAACGATGTATCAACAACTCAGTTAGTTAGTTAGTTGGTCTGTCTGTCTGTCTGTCTACTCGTATCAGCTAGCTAGTAAGTAAGAGTAGAAATTTAAAGTGAAAAATTTGAAATTGTAGCAAAGTGGAACAATGCAAGCCGGATTTCAATGGCGCTTACTGGAAGGCGGGCAATTAGATGAAAAGATTGCTAAATGCGCCGTCGCCGTCTATCAAGTGAGAGTTTATTAATTTCTCTAACAAGCTCTAATGAAGCGCACAAACAAAGTAGCAGACAGGCAGACAAACAAACAAATTTATAGATAATTACAAAAATAGCAGCAAGAGAAATTAATAAAAAGCTATAGCATATACTATACTTGTATGATTATCATTAAATCGAATCCCATCAACATTCATATCCAAGCACCACTTAAACGTTCATTACAACATTGATGCCTCCTATATCTTCCGAAGAAACCTTGCAAAGTCAGAGCCAACTCATGAACAGGCCAGAACTTACAATTCAAAAATTAATATTTGTATTCAAGGGCGTAGGCAGGGAGGACAGAGGGGAGGTTCCCCCCCTAGAAAAAATTTTTCCATTCCCCCCCTTTGGTAAAAGCTGCCTACGCCCTTGTTTGTATTCATATACAATACGTGATAAATGATATTTCGAAGTATCAATTACAGACTCAAATAGATTTTAGGTGTTATGTAATGGCCTCATTATGCTACAGTAAATAAGAATAAAAGTTAATGGAAGCTGAATCGAACATTCTAGGCATTTGAGCATCTAATCGAACTAATTCTTAAAGGCGCCTTACAGCTCGGCTCGAACTGTATTTAGTAACTGTTACTTGTATATGAAAAGGTTCTCCCCAAATCACTTGAAATCCGAATTAGGAGAGCATTTATGGCTCTAGACCCCATGATATTCGATCTGCCGACTTACGCTGACCCATTTAAGCGGCTGACTTTCTTTGGCCATGTGTGGTTGCATGTTTCTCTAAAATGTTTTGGATGTGGAACGTGCCGGTGGCTTCAACGGAAGAGCAATTCAAAGAACCGTAAATCGTGGGTGCTCCGTTGCGCATACAAAATGAGTGACCGGCGTGTGAGTAAATATTTTAAAATTTCACTTTTCTTAGCTTGAAAAAAGGGGGGAAAAAAGTAAGCATTCAAAACAGTTGAATCAGCATTTTTCAATATGGATTGTTTAATTTGTTAAATAATGCCTGTTCTCTTTTAAATATAAATAAATAATTTAAACTAGTCTTAAATTATTATTTGGTTTGCATGCTGCGCTGAGGTAAGACTTTTGTAGACATGCAGGCGCATTATCCTTCACCACTCCTTCTCCAGCCACACTGGTTGCTGCGTGTGCGAGTGCGAGTAGACAACCGGGACGGGGGCTGGAGGGGCAACATAGGCAGCCGCTGCTTGCACGGGCAGAGCACGCGACAACATCTGGCCAATGGCCAGCACCAGCAAGATGACGCCCACGCCGAGACCCTTCATGGATACCACAGTTAGGGCTGCCAGCAGCGTGGTTATAACGCCCACCACGAAGGCGCCGGGAACCACAGCGAAGCTCATGCGGCGCAAGAAATGATGTCCAAATGTGCGACTCTCTGCAAATAAGAATAGATTAATAATATAATATGCTAAGACATATTGCAGGAAAAGAGATCTCTTCAAAAAATTAATTAATTTTAAAACACTTTTCTTCACGCATTAATTATATTATTTGTCCATGAAATGAAGCCACTTTATGGGTGCATTTTATAGTTCCATTAATTAACACTTATGAGGACTTGGTTTCTTGATTACTGACCAGCAACATCGGCATCGCTGCTGCTGCTGCTGCTGTTGGAGCCCGTTTGCTGACACAGCACCACATCACACACAAGGCACAAAAGCACAAGGGCAAGGGCAATTTTCTGAGCTATAGCCATTTTGATAATATATTTGGGGTTTGGTTAACTATTCGTTTAATCCTTCGTTTCGTTTAATCCGTTATGCACTGCCGCACCAACCACTTAGCCACTTAGCCACGCAAACACTCGCAGACAATTGAATGCGTTCTGTCCATTGACATTGGCTTTTTATCAGCGTCTCCACATACGCGGCAACTATTTGAAATTCGACAGCCGGACGTGGTCACGAACGTGCGCCAAAACAAGCGAATCGTGCTGACCGCTGGGCAATGGGCATGGGGCACTGGGCATGGGGCAGTGAGCAATGGGCTTTGGACAACGCTCTTCCATTTGGCCACGTTTATTTGGAATGCCCAATTTTGTGCGCTACACGAAAATATCTTTGAATATGCATTAAGTTGCTGATTATATTACAGTCAAGCTTCGAATACGCAACTCTTTAGGGAATTACATTTTACATTTTAAGGCATGCAAGTACATTAGAAGACTCAATTTTACAGATTTTCCTGAATAGCATAGCATATGAATATGAAAGAATTTGAACAATTAATTATTAAATGCCGCACTTTGCAATTTACAAAAATATGTATTTGTTGTAGAAAAACAGAAGATGTAAACAAATATTAGTGAAAATAAAAAAATCAGTAATAATGTAATATAGTTGTCCCAGAGACAGACTATATTTCATACTCCTCACATATAGTAGACGATTAAGAAGGGGGTATGATGAAATGATGAAAACATCGGAGTTTAATTGAAATCGCTATTAAAGTAAAACCGATTATCGAATAAATATTAAATAGTATGTGTTATTTTTTTAAAAGAATTACCTACTACAAAATGCAAGTTAAATGTAATTAATTATTAATAAATGTTTTGCAGGGCCAAGGGCGTAGGCAGCTTTAAGCAAAGGGGGGACCAGAAAATTAATATTTTGATTAAGTAATGCACGATACATTTAAAAAATAACTTATGCATATGATCAATAAAAAAACTTCAACAAACCCAACTCAATTCCATTTAAAGACGTCGACTTTATAGGGCAACATTTTTTGTAGGTGGGGCAACGCCCCCTGCTTAATCTGCCTACGCCCTTGTGCAGAACTGAGCATAGAACTCAACCCCAGCCATGAGATACTTAAGAATGTGTCGGCTAAATTGCAAGTGAGTTGAAAGAAAGGTCTTTAGAATTTCCAACGACACCCTTGATTGTGCTGATTTCATTTTCCCAGCTTTTCGGACACTTCTGCCTTAGAAAAAAGTAGTTATTCTATTTGACGTGCCATTACAGACTGTCTGTAAGTGCATTGGGGGTCGTCTATTCGACAGTTTACTGCACATTTTCACTGACTGGCCCTTTTGGGGCATGCGCGCATTCAACGCATTTTGGACAGCACTGTCGCTTCGGATTTGGCTGTAGACAGTCGAGGTGCGTGTCCATGTTGCAGTTGGAGCGGTGGAGCATTCTTGCACGATGGCTCGGGCGGTGGTCGGTTGTATTGAGGGCGGGTGCCCGCCCACTAGCCCACTGCCAGTCGACAAATTCGCTTTCGATTTTGTTATTTTCGGCAGCTTGTGCTGATAATGATTTATAATTATTATAAAACGCAGGCGATAACTAATTGACTGTGCGGCGTCGCATTTCAATTTTGGATTTGGAAAACACGCTCATACCCGTAGTATGCTACTTGACGCATTGTAATGGCTTTTCTTTCATTCAAGAACCTGAATTTTGTAGGCCTTTTGGCACAATTCACTTTCATTGGACCCCAATGCGAGTGTAAAGGTATAAATCGAAGGGGCATATGATTATGTGAAAGTAATCATAAAGACCAAATTTGTCAGACGGATTTATGCTTATTGACATGCGTAGAATTTACTTTCTACTCTGGATTCATTACACTCTGAGCTGGTAAGCAGATGCTGGTGCTGGCAAACACCCCACCTACTATAAAGATCAACTTGCGCCAATTCCGCGCCAACTTTGTCAACAACTTTCCCATGCTATCGCCGTCACGGCTAATTGGCGTCTCCAGCTAAAGAATCCAAAACTGCGACCGTTAGTCGACAGTGACTGCGACTGCTTAACAAGTCAATAATGTTTATGGTTAATAGCAGGTCAGCCAGCTGGCTGACAATTACAGCTAAAAGAAATCAATAAGGCAGATCATTGAGAAATTGTGGGTCTACTCCAGATATTTACCCACATTCGCAGCAGGCTGGCAAGTTCTGTTTTGGAGAGGCGGCCCGACCCGCTCAAGGCAATTTCATTTAAGAAGATTTCAGATCGTGTTCTGGTGGCAACTTCTTGCTCTTCAGTATGTAGAATGCTGGCACCGGCTGCCTGCCTGTTCGCTGTACCCAATTCTCCAGCCTGCTGTCGGCCAGACCTGTTGCAAGTCTAGCTTGCTCTTTCTGCAACTCTCGACACGCCATCTGCGCCGCTGATGAGGCTGACCACCCTTGCTAATGG